CCGATAACCACTACGAGCGTCTTAATTTGGAGAGAGATTTGAGGTCAACCATCCCCAGGGAGAAGAAAACAAAACTGCAACTGCATTGTGCAACGGTGTGCGCATTTTTGCACATTAACTGCTGGGGTTACACTTAAAAATATGGTCAGTAACATGATATTGGTAGTAATGACACACTTTTATCAGCATAGTCATAGTAGGACCATGCAAGTTCTTTGAATAACTAAAAGGTGGTTTTTTTTCATTTTCTCACTAGAATTGTATTCCTTACCCATATAGAATATGACAACGGATACTATCTTCCTCAGAAAAATTACAATAAATAAGCAATTTTTATTTATTTTTTGAAAAACAACTTTTTGTGACTATTTCCCCAAATCTGTCTCATCACTTCTTATCCCATTGTCACTCTGACTAGTGTTCAGGTACAAGTTATAAAATAAAGCAAGTTCAGCTTCCTGTTTCTGTGTACAACAACATTGTTTTCAGTTAGACATCTTCCTTCCTTCCTATAATAGAAAGGTGATTCTATCTCCCAAGACCAGATTTGAACTGGTGATAAGCAAAAGCATCTGCATCCATTGCAAGTCACTTAAATTGCTTCATTCTATACTATATTATTTCCTGGCAGCAGTTGGGATATAAAAATCACAAGAAAAAAGCAATAAAAGTGTACTACAAGTAACATCAATATAATGCTGTTTATTCTTTCAATATATTTCATATCTTAATGAAAATTTAATGTGCGGTATTCTTTCTTCAAAATTCATAAACAGCCTGCCTAGGAGGTGGTAAAGGGTAGATTGAGTGAAATTCTGTATAAACCTGAAGTGAGGGATGTCAGAAGAACACAAAGCATCATTTCAATGGTATTGTAGTCTTTGTATGTCTAGCATACATTAAAGTAAAAAATGCCAAAGACATTAATGTCCTCTAATGTGATTGTCTAATTAAAGTATGGAAGTATGACCTGACACCCATCTTGCAAGGATAATAAAACTAGCTGTGTCACAACATAGAGAAATGCATTAGTTTGTTTTGTCTCATTCAGGGCACATCTACACATTCATTAAAGTGCTTTAGATAATGTGCATTAAATCTAGTACCTTCATTGTGAGGTACTAGAAAAATGTGCATTAGCCTATTTTAATCTGCATTAACTAAAGACCTCTGGGTGCCTGCACATGAGTGCAGAGTTTGCTCCCATGTACTGGAATTTATTGAGTCTGCTGGAGCGTGGCAATTGCTGCACTCCAGCAGCCTCCTGCGTCTCATATATCAGCATCCCCACACTGAAAAATGGCGGTGGGGTGCTTGCACTAATGCGTTTCAAATGAGTTTTAGTTCAAGTCCCCCTGCTGCCATTTTTAAGCATGGGGATGCTGATGCATGAGACACAGCTGTGCCTTAATTAGAGTAGCTCACAAAGCCCCTCTAATTAAAGCACCACCCACCCAACCCGAAACATGTAAGTGCCCATCACTTTTTTGTGACACTTTAATGCACATTAAAATAGGCTAATGTGCATTAAAGTGTACATGTAGACACACCCTTAGTTTCTTTAAACACTCTTAGGCACTTTACAGTAATTACTGAAACATACAGTGCTAACTCCAAAGGTGATACACAAGGACATTTTAAGTTATGTCAGCAAGAGGATCTGGTGGGGAATTTAATTAAGGTAACTTACAAGACTAGAGACCAAAACAAAATGTAAATTTAAAGTCCATTAGGCTTGAGCATCTAACATGTCTCTGAATTTAGCTTAACAAGCTCAAAATTGCCAAGCATAACATTCTGTTGCTCTGTGTAAAACATTACATGGCTTAAAATGTACAATCAATGCAAAACCAAACCAAACCAAACCAAACCAAACCAGAATAAACCTGGAAACAAACACTAAACTAAAACCAAATAATTCAATTTAAAACCTGCCCAAGCAAAAAAGGTATCTTGTTCTGAAGCTTATGAAACATCCCAGATGTGGCAAACAAGACTGAGCTCAGCTTGTTTCCAGATCTTGAAAATTAAAGTCAGTGATGTTCAGGATCCTGTTGCTCATTTTGTTATTGTGAGGAATCAGTTTCTTAAATAATTGTAGCCCAGATGACATTAGGCACTAGAAATAATACTTACAATGATTACTTTCACCAATGTTTGTAATTGATACAGCAGGCCACTGGGATGTTTTAAAGAGGGCCCGAGTAGTGAATATTTGTGGAGAGAGAGGTTGGTGATGGCTGGAGGCATTTGTTTTCACTTGTTTGTAACTTTACTATTCTTTAATCACCAGGGCCCAAAATTTTCACTTCTGCCATCTCTCTTAAGCTGTTTATTAAAATTTGGGGACAAACAGTTAAGCAAAATCATAATTGTTAGAAGGAGGGTAGAGAGGAAGTGGTCTTGCCCACGTTATAAAATTCTAGCAACCATTTATTTGAGAAGTTTTAATACCTCTGTCATTTCTTGAGGTCTCTCTGAATCCTAGCTCTACCCTCCAGTGTATCTACTACACCCCCCAGCTTGGTGTCATCTTCTAGATCGTAGATGAAGATATTGAACAAAACCAACCCCAGGACTGGCCCATGGGGCACTCCACCCAATACTGGCTGCCACCAAGCCATTGATTACCACTACCTCTTGAGTGTCATGATCCATCCAGTTTTCTATCCCTCTTACAGCCCATTCACTGAACCGAGACATCCTTTGCTTGTTTGCAAGAATGCTGTAGGGAGACGGTATCAAAAGCCTTACTAAAGTCAAGGTTTATCATGTGCACAGCTTTCCCCGCATCCACAGAGCCAGTCATCTCATCATAGAAGGCAGTCAGGTTGGTCAGGCATAAATTGCCCTTGGGGAATCAATGCTGACTGTTTCTGAACACTTTCTTCTCCTTTAAGTGTTTAGAAATGGATTCTTTGAGGACCTGCTGCATGATTTTTCTGGGGACTGAGGTGAGACTGACTGGTCTGTAGTTCTCTGGATTCTCCTTCTTCCCTTTCTTAAAGATGGGCATTATATTTGCCCTTTTCCAATCTTCTGGGACCTCTCCCAATCACCATGAGTTTTCAAAGATAATGGCCAGGAGTTCTGGTTACTGCTGAACACTTGACTTTACAACCTTAATGCTATTTTAGTGTAGTTCTCTGTGATATAAATATAAATCTATATAAATGCCTCCAGATGATGAACAGATAAAGATACCATCCTCCGCATAATCTTTAAATCTACTCCATTATACACCATGAAAAAATAACCCCCTATATGTTTGATGTAACATCTAATATGAATCTGATCCCAATCAATATTCTAGTATAAAATCATGACCTAGTCCATACTTCAATAACTCTTTTTTATGACCTAAAGGGAGGTATTCAACACCATCCAAGGTATAGTGGTATGTTTGTAAGGTCTAATTGCACTTAGTAGAAGAGAAGGATTACAATGCTAGTTGTGCTTTTGTGCCCTTCTGTGTCTCCTTTAAATTGATAGCATTTTACTGTATGTTACACAGGTAAAGTACAGAGAAGAACTTAAACAAGCCACAGCTATTTCTGATCCCCCAGAATTAAAGAGAGTCAAGGAAAACCAGAAGAATATTAGCAATGTGAGACATATTTATTACTTGCAGAATCTTTTCTATTGCGTTAAATGCCTTGATGCCTAGATGACTAAATCTATGGTGTTTGTATAAATTCTGCTTTGTCAGAAGGACTAATAAAATTACTTAAGTGGATAGCCCTTTTCATAGTGTTTGAGCTTATATTAACAGTAATGGGAACTACCTCCCAACACCACAATAACATTACTTTCTAGGTGTGTGAATTTGAACATTTGCAGAAGGCAAGTTTGTAAGTGCCATCTGGATCAAAGTGAGCATCTGTGAATGAATACATTTCTAGTGACATGCGTGTGTGTTATGTACTGTGTCCTAACAAAGCACAGTGTTTCTGTTGTTTGGAACTCCATCTATATCTAACGCCCTGTTTCCCAGGTCCAGTACAAAGAGCAGCACTGTAAAGCTACATCTGTGATTGTCACCCCTGAGATCGAGAGAGTCAAGAAGAATCAAGAAAATGTCAGCATGGGAAGTTACTTTATTTTCTTCTTATTGTAATCACATGATTTAGTGTTTTCTTGCAAAGCAGGCTCCCCCATGCTGTGTGTTGTCATGAATTAAGCCTGTCCTTGATAATGAAAAACACATACTTATACTTTTCTCTCAGTGGATCAGTAACAGTTTATGGTTTAGTCAGAGTAATAGTTTATGGTTTAGTTTTTTACTAGAACATGCTATCCAAACTTCAAGAAATTCTTCAAGTACTTTTCTTAAGTCCTTTCTAATATTTTAATATCCCTTTCGAAAGTGGAAACCAAAATGGAAGAAGTGTTATGATGTCACTAATGCCACGTACAGAAGTCTTACTAGCATTTTAATCCTACTTGACACTCTCCAAATTTACATAGAAGAGTCAGGTTTGTCCTCTTAGGCCTTTGGTAGACATTAAAGTAATGGCACCATTGTGATCTGAGAAATTTTATGCCTCAGACCTGTATTTTACAGGATGCTTAATGTTTGGAATGAAGCATAAAATTCCTGAAATCCCTGTCACACCACTGCAGGACTGCCTCCAGTCCTATTGTATTGATCAGGCAGGAGATGGCTCTGTCCTAGAGCCTGAAGTTGCCCTGTTCTGAATCCCGATGCTCAGCTGAGTGTTGGGCTTGGGCATGGACAACTCCAGGTCCCAGTTTGGGACTTGAAACTGTCCCCAGCCCAATCTTGAGAATCAGGCTGGTGGTAGTTTGGGGACCTGTGCTTGTCTGGGGACGGTGCCAACAATCAGCTGTCCAGTTCAAGACCTGGGGCTATCCTGGGCCAATGCCAACGATCAGTTGATTGTCAGCACCAGCCCAGACAGGCCTAGGTCTTATTGGAAACCCAGTTTGAGACCCAGGTCCAGTTGGAAACCTGGTTTGAAACCCAGGTTTGTCCAAGGCCAGTACTGACAATCAATTGATTATCAGCTCTGGCTCCAGACAGCCGCAGGTCCAGTTGGAAATACAGGATTGTCTGGGGCCAGTGCTAACAAGCAACTGATTGTTGGCATGGGTTGAGGCAGCCTCTGTCTGGAGCATAATACAGGCCACATGTTCAATTTAGGTGCCATAGAAACTGGCCACAAATATATTCTACATTATATGTAGAACATCTTTGTGGTTGATTGGCCATTTTGTGGCACCATAAATTGGCTGAACATGTAGCATGTTATAATTTATTGTGCAACTAACAAGTTAATAATATCATAAATGCAATGTCTGTCAAGGGCTTAAGCGACAGCACTATGCTGGAAATTACCTTCATCAGCTATCGGACTGGGAATGGTTTCCTTAAATGTTGGCAGGGTGGCATTTTTATGGAGAAATATGCTGATAATTGGTACCGTATGTTACTAATTCTACCACTTCCAAATATGAGATGAAAAACTAATCATTCCCATGTGGTGGATCTTCTCCAGTACATATTGCCAAAGAGCCCATACATGCCACAGACATGCTTTGTTGCACCCTCTAAGATGTATTCCCACTTGGAGAGCCTAGAAAGCTAAATGATTATTGTTTAGAAAAATAACACATGAAGGTTCTGATGATTGTGGCATTCCAGCCTGTAGTAGTGGCTTGTAAGGTCTAACAGTGCATTAGGTAGGAGAGGATTACAAAACATTTGCTGTGTTTTTATGCCCTTCTATTTCTTTCTTAAACTGGTAACATTTTACCATGTTTTATACAGGTAAAGTATAAAGAAGAGATTAAACAAGCCACAACTATTTCTGACCCCCTGGAATTAAAAAGAGTTAAGGAAAACCAGAAGAATATTAGTGATGTGAGACCCATATTTATTACTTATTACTTGATCTTGTCTGTTGTTTTAAATGCCTTGATGCCTAAATGAATGAATGGTGTTTGAATTAATTCTGCTTTATCAGAAAGACCAATTTATTCACTTCAGAAGACAACCCTTTAACTCAGTGTTTGAGCTTGTATTAACAGCAATGGGAACTTTCTACTTGCACAAAAATAACATTATGTGATGGGTGTGAGCATTTGTAGAAGGAATGATGATAAGTGCCATCTGGTTCTAAGTGAGTGTCCATGAATGAATGACATTTCTAGCAAAATGCATGTGTGGTGTTCAGTGTTTTTGCAGCATTAGACTACTGTTTTTGGGTACCTTCAGATGTTACATTTAGATGGATATAGCTAGGGTTAGGATGATCTAAATGATCATGTGTTCAGATATTTGGGGAGGTTTAAATCAGGCCCAAAATGCTGGGCTCAATCTAAATTAGTTCACCTGAGTAGGTGAATTAAGTTAGATCATGAACAGGGTAACCCAATACAGAGAACATCTATACACGTTTAGAGTGCAGTCCAAGGCCAGGAAAGCCCAGCTGCTTGCTCAAGCCCTAGCCCTGTGTTCTTCCTGCCCTCCCCTCCCTTCCCCTTATCTGGCAATTTTTAACTCCCTTCCCTCCAACTCCACCCATTTCCAGATAGGACAACACCCCACAGACCCTCTAGCTTTCCTGATCCTGCAAACCTCTCCCCCTCCACCCTCAGTGGTTTTCCAGTGCAGCTTCTGGTACTGGTGAATGCCTGCACGTGTCACACTCTGTCACAAGTGGTGGGAGAAAAGATTATTTGGGGGGACTGGGTGGTGTGGGGCATGCCCGCCTGACCCCCGCCCCTCCCTCCTTCAGGGCCATTGAGGGGGACAGCGTGCGCTGGTGTTGCATGTGTGGTGTGTGCGGAGCGCGTGGCAGGGTTGCTGGGTGTGGCAGTGACGCTGTCACCATCCACTGCAAAATTAGTTTGTGGGTACTAAGCCCAATTAGCCCCAGCCTTCTGCCACCTATGTTTCCTGTCTACAATCACATGACTTAAAGCAAGTTGCATGATCATAGACTGTGTAAAGTGAACTTTTTGTACATGTACTTTGTTGCTTTGAACTCCATCTATAATATTTCATACCGTTACTCAGGTCCAGTACAAAGACCAGCTCTGCAAAGCTACACCTGTGAGTGTCACTCCTGAGATTGAGAGAGTGAAGAAGAATCAAGAAAATGTTAGCATGGGAAGTTGCTTTATTTTTTCTTATTGTATCTCAAGCATTAGCAGTTTCTTACAAGTCAGTCCCCACCATGCTTTATGTTTTCCTTAGTTAAGCATGTGTTTAATAATGAAAGACACTTATACTTAAATATATTATATATTTATATATTATATTTTTCCTGTAATAGATCAGCAGGAGTAACAATTTTTAAAAGATCTATTAACCAGGTCATTGCATGGTTCAGGAAATTAATTAGGTGCAATATTGTTCCTGGCCAAACAAATGACCATGACTAATTTTATTTATTTATTTTTTAATTTAAACAAAGTAGTATTTCAACCAAACCCATTCCTCCTGTTCCAGTAATAAATCTGTCTGATGCAGTCCACTACATTTTCCACTGGTGAAAACAGATTACAATTAATCAATGACAATTGTTGTTTTCACCTTCCTACCCCTTCCTCCCCACCTAAAAAAACAACTTACTGATGATTGGTGTTAGATATCAAAAATGTCCATCATGATGTCTTATTTCTTCGGGGGAAGAAGATGTAGAAAAAAACAGAGCATTTATTAAGCACATTTTTGCATCCTTGTGTAGTTGAAGGACCATCTTTGTACTTCCTGTTCTGTCTTCTAAGGGCCAACCACTCTCCATAGAAGGACTTCCAAGAGACATAAGTTAATGGGACTAGTAGCAGCTGCAACATGTCAATGGCAGCTGATGTTCATTTAGTTATTCATCATGAGTCATTGATCCATTCAGAGTTACTGCCTTCCAGAAAACAGTCCAACTGCCACTATATCTGTGATCTTCATGCTTTGTTCCTAGATATACAGGCTTTTATGTGTATTTTAATATTGTATTATATGCTTGTTGTTTAAATGTGCTCCCCTTACTGAATGATACAGGTAAGTCTATGTAGCTGATCCATCCATATCATTGTTTATCATTCCAGTTTTTGTATTATTTGCCAATTTTATAAGCAATGATTTTATATCTTTCTTTCAAATTATTTGGGCCCCTGCCACATGTTAAACAATTAACTGGTTAATCACGCAATCGGTTTAGATTGGCCACATGTGCCAAGTAGTTATCACGCCATAAAAATGTCTATTCAGCTATCAAAAGACCTAACCAGCTATAGAGTTGGTGTTTGAAAATGTGTGACAACTCTATAACTGGTTTCTATCCAGTTTTAATTTGAGTGTGTAGCAGGGTCCTTAGACAGTAATGTCCTGTTTACAATTACTGTTGTAATCTACCAGGTACCCAGTTTTTAGTTCACTTAATATATAGTCTGCACTGGTTTTCGAATGATACTATTTTTACATACTATCATGAATGTCAGAATATGCCAGTGCTGTCATGGTCCACCAGGCTGGCTGGCCTAGTGGGTAGAGCTGGTCATGGAGCTGGGGTGGGGAGGGGTTACAGGGGTAAGGGTCAGAAGCCACGAGTTAGGAGCCAGAATGCCAATCCAGGGTCAGGAGCTGGGAATCAGAAATTTAGCTACCAAGTCTGAAGAATAATCCACAGGGCAAAGTCCAAAAGTAAGCCAAGCTGGGGTCATGAGTCAGGAAACAGGTCTGCAAGGAGAATCTAAAAGCCGAAATCCAGGAGCAAGCCAAAGGCAGGGGCAGGATCTAGGGAAGCCAGAGATATTGCTGGGACAGGAGCTGCTCAGAGACTGCAGCAAGGCTTAGGTGCTGGAGGAGTTCCTTAAATACAACTGTAGAATCAATCAGAGGGAAGGGGCTGGTGATCAGCAGGCCTTGATTAGTGGTAACTGGATCAGCATACTTAACAAGGGCTGCAGGGTAGGAGCCGGACTGCGCCTTACAGAGTTGATCTAGGCTGCAGTGCAAGAGCTTTGCAAGCATGGTTACCTTTATCGACCAAGCTTGAGATATCATAAAAAATTAGACATTTGTTTAAGAAGACCTGCTTTACATTGAATCATGTTGATTCACATGGATTCTCCTACCTTCTTTTAATTCTTCACTGAATCCCTGCCAGTTTAGCCTTCCTAGGGTTTTGTCTGTAGTTCTTGAGTCATGTAGTTTACACTGTTGAAATACTGGCATGATGTTGACCATGAATTTCTTTATTGAATTATCTTTGGAAATGAACATCCTTAAAAAAAAAAAAAAGTGGAGACAGATTCCCATTCTGCAAAATATGTCTCAGTAACCTTAAGTGAGATTTTTGACAATTGATTTTAATTCTCTCTGTATGCCTATATACTATACACAGTCATCTTGCATCTACTCCAGCTTGTCTTTCATGAACAGTCACCTCGGAAAATAGCGTGTAGAAGTTGGACCCATGGATGTATCCTTTATGTGGCTCTTGCGTTTGTATAGGTACATAGTTATGGTGGGTGCTATTAAAATTTTGAGACTTCCCTTGCTGTAACTGAATTTACAGAAACATTTATGTTATAACCCATTCTAAGCTTACGGCTGTAACTCCTGCCTTTTTAGGTTTGAAGCACCCTTCAATAGATTCAAGGTATTCCTTGATAGAATCGTGGCACCCCTCAGAAAGTGCCCGATCTTAGGCTGCCTATAGACATGATTTGATGCATTCTAATTAGAACACATTGGAGCACACTCGTTTAATCTAGTCTGCTCCACATTCTAATTAGAATGCTCTAGGATCACCGCAGTATCATGTGTATTAAGACCCTTCCCCCTAACCCCCCATATTTCAAAATGGCCCTGGGGGCGCTTTAACTAAAGCTTGTCAAATGAGTTAAAGCGTCCTTCAACCATTTTTAAATGTGTGGGGGCTTAATAAACATGATGTTGCAGTGTTTTAATTACAGTGGCTATCTGGGAGCCACTTTAATTAAAATGCTCCCGACCCTCCCACTCCTGAGCATGTGTGTAGGTAGCCTTAGTTTTTACTCTTTTATTTTGAATATAGAAAGATAATAGAGCAGTTATTCTGTTGCAGAGAACTCAGAAAGATGACACCATGTCCAAACCACAGTACCCTGATTAAGAATTACTGGCATAGGGACTACCATAAACACTGGAAAATACTAGTGTGGCAAATGTCAAGATATTATGGGTGTATATCAGCATGTTTATACACATCACAGGGATCCATAATAAGAATTCAAGGTTATACTTCAAGACTCAATGTTTTATAAAACTTAACAAACTGCAAATGCAGTTTAGTCATTGTTTCCCACATGACCTGTTATATTTTATATTTAAATGTAATGCAGTCTGATCATGTTTTAATAGATTACATACATTTTTATTCTGTTGAATAATAGATTCACTATAGAAAGCAGCCTGGCAAAGCTACTGCTGTGAGTGTCACTCCTGAGATAGAAAGAGTCAAGAAGAATCAAGACAATATCAGCTTGGCAAGTTCTCTGAATCTTTCTGTTCTCTGAAACCTTTGGTTACTTTTTGAGTATAACAGGAGAAACTTAAGGAAGGATATTTGATACCTGAAAACTCATCTAAGGGTATCCCAACCTCACAGCTGGTTCAATAAAAGATATAAAAAATCAAGTGTAACAGGGGTACACTTTTCAGGTGGGATTTCATTTAACAGGTGACAGTTGTTTGCATCAGCTATTTGGACATGCAGGGCCAGAACCCATTTCACATATTAGACAGCTAAGGGTTTGTCTATACAGCCTTTGCAGTGCTCTTGAGAGTCCCACCATGAAGTAGATCTTTGCTCATTTGCTTCCACTTCAAATCTGGAAAAGAGGCAGTGAAATTCTGAGCTTGGCCCTGCTACTTTAAAGTAAAATGGAGACAGGAAAACCAACACTGATGGCAGGGAGTCACCCTCCAGGTGACTTCACTGCCTCTTTTCTGGATTTGACATGCAAGAAACAGTAGTAAGTGGGCACAACCGTCTTCTCAAGAGTGTGGGGAGCAACTGTATGAGACAGCTAGGCATATAAGCATGGTCTTACTCTAGGATTTTGAATTCTGGAAAAGTTTTTAACATATTTGCTTGTGTAATGTGTTTTCATTTTAGCTTGGTCACTGAAAGCAGCAATGAATATTCACCAACATTTTGCTTTTCTCGTTCCTGCTCTCCCCTCCTGCCTGCACCTGCTAGGGTAGGAGGGGATGAGGAGAACTGTGTTCAATAACTGCTACAGCAGCAGCCAATGCTGGTAGAGATGGTTTAGACAAGGAAACAGAAAATGTGTACAGTCAGGCCTTGATTTACACGGTGGTTACATTCTTGAAAAAACAGCGTGCAAATAGAAATCGTGTAAAAAGATACCAAGGATCTATGAAAAATAAGGGTTTAGGTTCCAGATGCAGCCAGTAATTTGGACGATAAATGCCTGTGTGTGTGCAACCGCAGAGCAGCATGCAGGCAGCGAGGAGCAGAGCCCAGCTGCTTGGAGAGCTGTGTGCAGCTGGTAAGTCTGGTGTGGTGGAAGGGGAGGAAGGAGGGAAGGGGTGTGGAGGGGGAGATCAATGTCCCCCATGGTGAGGAAGGAGCGGGGCAGAGGCAGACGCTGCCTGGACGGACATGGGACGAAGCCGCGGCTCTGGGGGGCACGGGAGGGGGACTGTATGTACCCTGGTAGGGCACCGAGGAGGTGTGTGCCCCCGGATCTGCATGGAGTGGGGAGGCAGGCTGCAGCTGTGGGCTGGAGCTGGGGCTGCGCCAGGCTTTTCTCAGTGGGGGGCTGGGCTCAGGGCAGGTGGCGGCAGTGCCGTGAGGGGGCTATGGGGGGGTTTCAGCCACCCCAAATTTCACTGTAGCCCCCCTGTAGGCTCCTTCCAGTGTCCCCACCAGCCACCCAGAGCCCAGTCTGGCTCAGACCCCACTGAGAAGAGCCCTGTGCAGCCCTGGCTTCAGCCCACAGTTGCAGCCTGCCCCTCCCCCCCCTCCCCACCCCAGGTGGGCAGTGCCTGCCCCAGCCTCTTCCCCACTCCCTCCCTCACGGTGGGGGGGGGCGTTGATCTGCACCCCAACATCTCTTCCTTCCCCCCTCTCCTTTCATCACAACACAAGACACTTACCAGCTCCACTGAGATCAGCGTGGTGGAGGAGAGGTGGGAAGTCACCAGTTGATTCTAGATGCATCTGTGCATCTCGGTGACCACACTGCACCATATAAAAGTGAATCCATGCCATGTACAAAAAAAAAAGGTGGCAGTTAATTAACTGTGCATAATTGAAACCGTGCAAAAAATACTATGTAAATCGAGGCCCGACTAATAATAATTTAGAAATCTATATTATAATACAGTTTTATAGTAACAGTAATCTAAATGAAGGCTTCACATGTTGTTCCTGTTTTCCAGGTTAAGTACAGCAGTGATCAGAGGCAGATGAAAGGTAGACCTAGTGTGATTCTAGACACACCTGAGCTAAGGCATGTCAGAGAAACACAGAACAACATCTCAATGGTAGGGTACACTCTTGTTAGAGTGCTGCTAGATTATACTAAGGAATGACACTTGACTGTACACTGGATTTTGCCCTTCATTAATCTAGGTAACTAATTAAACACTGTACTAAAGTTTGGAAACAATGCTTTTTCT